CCTATCGAATATCTTTTTTTAAATGCGAGGTAATCTTTTATAGAACCTACATGATTAACTTTTCTTCTAATAATAAAAAAAACTCTAAATAAAAACTATTATTCCTACAAATATTGAGTAGTCTCCCTTGACAGTTTCTATTCGAATGTATTTTGTGTTAATTTTCGTTATGAAATACAGTTGACTTTTTAAATAAATTATATAAGAAAACAATCTATCTCTGTGTATATTTATTTAAAAAAAATATTATTACAATAATTAGAATAGGTGTTACTGGTTAAATAGCAATTATTCTCATTCTAAATCTTTGGCTATCGAGTTTCATGGGTTTTTAAATTTAAGATTATGAACACATTGGCTTGACGAAAATGATTACATACACTTAAATACATACTAAAATTTACTTTTGTTAATAAACCTACACTTTTTTATGCACACATACAAAAAAGAATATTTTAGCGGCAGTTACAACGTCAAAAAGAAAGGAAACTCCTTTATACTGAATAGTTCTACGTAACAACAAAAATGTAAAAATACATAGTCCTAGAGCACACTAACACATACATATATACATACGAAGATGTGTGTGTGTGTAAGTAGGATGTGAGGTGTGTAGACAGGCGGGGTAGAAGGAAAGCAGTTTGGCAGGAATAACGGTAGGTAGGAAAGTAGGTAGGCAGGCAGCAGCGCAGGCAGGTTAGTAGATAGGTAGGTACGTAGGCAGGGAGTTAGGTATGTAGGTAGGTGGGCGTAGGTAGGAAGGCGCCTCACTCGGTATAGTGAGCGATTATAGTAGCCCATCATATTCATAGCGTTTCGCAATTATTAAAACGAACAAAGGTACCATAGTACTCACGGGAAAACCCGGGGAGCTAAATGGAACCCTGCCAGGGCGCCACCAAATCGAATTTTTTTTTCGTAGAAACCACCACAGGGGTATTAGCATTAACTTCTCAAATTTGAATGACAAACGAATGAAATCTTTGATAATGCTTAAACAAACAAACGCACATATTCGTTTTTGGGGCGCGGGTTTGTCCACACTGCCGCCTAGACGCACGAAGGCATACTGTATGAAAGCCTTGAGTGTACGTTAATCAACCTCTGTAATAGTGAGGTAGAACACACATTGGCGACCGCCCATGTGTTAGAGACGCGTCCCTTGGCGCTCCAGGGAGCCACTGGTTATATTTCCGCAGGGGCGCCCCTAATTCGGTTTAATTATAAAATGTCGTGTGCCACCGTGTCCCTATTGTAGGGTGCTCTTTAAGGAGGCACTCTCTGTAGAGCCCGGGGCGCTCGCTGTCGCCAACTGCCAGGGCGCCGGCGGGCGCTCATTATTCTACTTAGTGAACATTTATAGTAGCCCATCTAAACCGTAGTGTCGCCCGAGATGGGTCTTGGCCGCTCTGGGCCACTCAACCGCCGGGGAGCTGGCGGATGAACCTGGTGTAGTTTTATCACTGAATCTCAGAGGCGTAGCACCATTCCTGGCGCCTGGGGACAAATTTTCAATTTGGCGCCCCCCCCCCCCCCTACCGCCGGAGACAAACTTTCAATTTGGCGCCCCCTCCCCGTATTTTTTAAATATTTATAATGCAAAACTATAGCTAAAATGAGCTTTTAAATTTTTCCAACCATTTTGGCGCCCCTAGGGTTGGCGCCCGGGCACATATGTACCCCCCGACCCCCTCGCTGCGCCTCTGCTGAATCTAGTATTACCTATGACCGCAATTGATGAGATAGCCCCTCTGGATTCCCCTCTGGATTCTGAGCTCATAATCGTATAATTAGAAAAATCGAACCCTCCCAGGGTGCCACACTTAAGAATTTTTTTCTTTCTCGAAACCCTTTTCACCAACTACCCAAAATTTTATGACTCTCGTACGAACAGTGTCAAATTGCATCTGGCTTTTATTTTTATGGAGAAAAATTGCATTGCTTCCTGTCAGAGACCCCAGATCGAATGGGGCGCCAAAAGGGGTAGACAATTTAAAAAAAAATCCTCATTCTTCAGTAAAATTTAAGAAAACAGATTTATACATGGCTGATATCCTCAATTATTTTATATAGGGGAGTGTATGTAGGGATGGGCGCCTTTTTGCCAGCGTTTGAATAGGGTTGGCACATAATTGATAGTTCGCCCCGGCTGCCGGAATAGGTTGCTACGCTTCTGCTTCCTGCTAGGGTGCCGCCCTGGCGAAATCTTTCCGGGGGGGGGGGGGGCGTGCGGACACTGTTAAAAGTATTTTTTTCTATATAAATTCCGTTTCGTTCGGGGGTGGGGGGGGGGGGGTCGATAGACTTTCTTCGGGGGTGGGGGGGGGGGCTCTGCTTCCCCCCCCCCCCCCTCCGAATAGATTCCTGGAAAAAACTCTGTTCGCAAAGTTTTATGGCGATCCGATGAAAAAGATGTAGTAATTCATATAGGACAAACAGTTAAACATACTTTCATTTCTATAAATATAAATAGATATATAGGGCCTACTTTAACTAGTGTCCGCATACCCGCACCCGGAAACTTAGTCACAATTTTCTTTGTTACATTTGAACCCTTTAGGTTAATCAATATTAACAAAATTGAACAAGATGCAACAAATACAGTTAACCAAGAAATTGAACAAATAAAATTCACGTTATCTTTTTATTGTTTTTAGATATAGAGTAGTAACAGACTACCTACAGGTCCTAACTCACGACGAGGTACACATTTGTATTAAAACACACATCTAAGACATTTTCCATTTAGGTGGGTTTTGCAGTACAGTGGTTTCTTAAGTCGTGGACAAGTGATTGCGCTTATCTCTGTTGAGTAGCTATGTATTCTGTCCTATATTAGACACATTTGTAAATATCTGTCACAATATGGGCATAGAGATGATATAACGATAGCTTATCTTTGCGGACGACGCTAAACTTTGGCATCGACACCACGGCCTACAAGTTCAAATTCGGTCCTTCAGAAATGTTTGAAGTCTCTAGATTAAAACTACTTTTCTCTTTTATGTACCTACTGACCACATAACATGTATTTCGTCTGAAATTCACATGCATTTGTTCTGAAAGTCTAAAAACAGAGGCACAAATATATCGTCTAGACTTGTGAGGTCTACAGATTAGGTATTTTGGCAGTTATCTAAGCCCTTGCCTGTTCTGACTCAAAGCCTTACTCTTTCTCTATCGACGCCTTGCGTAACATGGGATTGGGTTTTTAAGGCGGCATAAAGCTTTATGTTGTTCCTTTTTGAGTACACTAGATTAAAAACTAACGTTTTCAGATGCCTAAAGATGTTTAACCACTAATTAATCAGAATAATGGGTCAAGATTTCAATTCTTGGTTTTGGGACACGTTAGTTGCCGGGGTTGAGCTAATGTCGATAGCATAAGGACTGTACCTTGATGCGGGCGTTTTATTTGTTGCCCATCGTAATAATTGAATGGTTGATGGGGCTTCTTCAAGGGTTTGATTTGCCGTAATGTTAATGATATCATGCATGTGCGGCTTTTCTAAGAAGAAAATGCGTTTAAACACTTTTTAGTTATGCTTTTTTTTAAATAGGCCTATATTTTACGACATCATAATCGTAATGAACAATAAAATGAATTTAAACAACTTTAGAATACACCTGTTTCGGCTAATGTGAATGTTATTCTTCAAACTAGTAATGTTAAACGTGTCTTTTTCGCATTTTCGACTTATAAGCAATACAGTAAATTCCGATAACGTCCATTATCATACAAGCAATGGCGTAGGCGAGGAGGGGTTTAATAGTGATTTAATAATAATACTTTCTTAACCCTCTACTGGACATCATGTTTGGTACCTTGCCCCCGGCAACTGGGTGGATTTGGATTACACCCAAGTTTTACTTCATAGTAAATGGCTTCAGTTTTAATTATTGGAGTTGGTAGCAACATTGACACAGTTGAAATCACATTAATTAGTATATAATTTACCATTACTAACAATAGGCCCTACTTAATTGTTTAATGTTGCTGGATATTAAGCCTGGTAGGTATTTATATTTATTAATTTGTACAGAAACAAAAAAAGGATTCCCAAACAAAGTTTTATTTTTCAGAAATAAAGAAAATGATACAAATCAATAAAGAACAGTTTTCAAAAGAATTTGTATAAAAGTAATTATTATAAAATAAGAATATAGCATTGCATAGATAAAAATAAAATACTTGACACAAACAATATGAGGAATATTTTTTATCAGAGAAGAGAAAAATATATGATGTAGTTTGAAAATAATAATGTACAGAATGTAGCTTTTGCAGATTAAAATGAAAATTCTCATGCCTATATAATTTATTGAGTAAATGAAGCAAGGCCCAAAACACTAGGCTAAATAATATGCATGGGACAGGGATTGAAAACTACAAATTGCATATAGTGAAGGTTACCCTATTTATTGGCTATATCCACAGTAAAGATTTATGGCTTTATTACCTGCTTGTAAAATTGTTAAGGAAAAAGTAAAGTATTGTTAACTTTTTATGGCAGACCAACTACGGGCTGTGTTCTGGGAAAATGTCATCTGTAAGGGGCATTGTTCTCGGCACATGTTGTCATTTTTTGTGTTCTCGGCACATGTTGCCATTTTGTGTGTTCTGGGAACATGTTGCCATTTTGTGTGTTCTGGGCACAAAATGACATTTTGTGTGTTCTGGGAACATGTTGCCATTTTGTGAGTTCATGGAACATGTTGACATTATTTGGCTGTGTTCTGGGAACATGTTGCCATTTTGTGTGTTCTGGGAACATGTTGCCATTTTGTGTGTTCTGGGAACATGTTGCCATTATTTGGCTGTGTTCTGGGAACATGTTGACATTATGTGGCTGTGTTCTGGGAACATGTTGACATTATGTGGCTGTGTTCTGGGAACATGTTTGTTTCATTTTTAAATATTATAATAAAACATTTTTAGAAATTCTATATTAGGAATTGTGTATATATATACATTTATATATTTAATAAGACAATTGGATGAATTATAAAAAACAGCAAAAATGATTCAAATAAGTTTAGAAGTATTTGGCTTGCTGTCCTAACAGTGAACTGTATTGCGAGCTTGTTTCCCTAGTGATAACCCATGTTTTTTGTGCGACCCTTCCAATCAAGTATCCAGCTTTTTCTTGGCCTGTATCAAAATGCTGGTCAGACTTGCTTGACTTGTGTATCACAATATGATTTTGAATGTTTTTCTGTAAATGAAATAAAGGCAAAATATTTTGATACTTTCTTTTGTGGAACTTGCAGGAAAAATAAATTACAAATTTATATTACTATCTCTAATGTTTCTTAACTATAACTAATTACTTTGAAAAGATAAAGCACTGAACATGATGAATAACAAGAAACAAACATTATCAGCAAAGATTATAGATTTAAAATTGTGTTCATTCATATTGAAGATTAATGAAGTAGACTATCAATATTTACCCTCTTGATGGCTGATACTTTGATTTGATGTCTTTACTTTAAGCTTACACATCAGTCTCTGTGTGGTAAAATATGAAATGATATGCTTCAATAAAACTGTTTCAGTATATTAATTATATTAGATAAGTACATAGTTTTGAGCTCTATAACAATATGTGTTTCAATTATCATTCAAATATAATACCCTCTATGTTGTACACTCACTGATTTATTAGAATTTAAAAAAAGACAATAATTAATAAAATATTTTGGATTAAAATCCATTATATTTATTATAACATATAATGCTATCTCTTGCTATAATAATTACTTTAAAAAATGGGTTATGCCTATAGTACAGTTACCTGAGGATGAAACTAGGCACAGTGTATAGTCCACGGAGACTGATTAATATCCCTTGTAATTGAACATCAGTTGTAGTTATGAAATCTGGATGGCCAAACACACACTCATAGTCCTGAAAAGCAATTTACACATAGATTAGCAAGAATATCTCACAAATTATTAAATTAAAGCTAACCCCTATTTAGTGCAATCCATCAAAGTAGTAGCATTTTTCGTTAAGTTGTAGACACAATACAAAGTAATGTTTGGTCTATGATTTACATACTTTTATAAAATAGCAATCAAATTATATATATATATATATATATATATATATATATATATATATATATATATATATATATATATATATATATATACACATAGGCCTATATATATATATATATATATATATATATATATATATATATATATATATATATATATATATATATATATATATATATATATATATATATATATATATATATATATTCATTGTAAATTTTAGCTATGTCTTGCTATTAAATTTATTTACTTACTCGACTGATCTAAACTCACTTTATTTAAACATGATATAGTGGATAAGTATAGTGATTTTATTATTCAGCAATAAATAGCAGCCCTAAAAAAATTTAAATAGTAACGTTTGCGAATGAACTTATTAAATTCTATGTATTTCCATTTCTATGTCTTTCCCAACTTGATGCATATTACTAACCAAGCATTAAACTATAGTCCTAAACCTGACTCTAATTACCATTTATTGGACAACCTGAACCTTTGTGATACCATGTTATAATATATTATTTTAAAAAAGAGCTTACCACTAATTAGTAAAATCAATTGTTTTTAGTATTAACTGAGCCGCATACTATCTGCTGCTATTGTCATCACCAGAAATCCAGTATGTTGACAAAGATTAGTCTCTAAGTTCCCTGCAACCTCTTTCCTCTCGAGTGCGGAAAACACTGAAATCATTAATCATTATTTCATTATGCCTAATAGTTTAAAGGTACTATTAAAGTAGTACTAAATAGTACGAGTCTAAGTTACTATAGGTCTAATGATAATTATTATTGTGTATGCTTACATGCTTTAAGTTTTATGCACAATATTGGTATATAATATATAGGCCTATTATATAGTCTATAGTATATAGCCTAAGCTATAGAGTATATAGGCCTATGAGCCTAAATATAACAGCAGCTTGAATAATGCTCATTAGCATGCATTCACTATAAACTATAAAGATAATCAAATATTTCAATTTAATTAAATTATAACTAGTAGGCCTAATAGTAAATAGGCTTTTTTCTTGTGGCAACAAATTTAAAGTATAGGCCGGGCAGTACAGTTATATAGTATAGGCCTAATAGATTCTATATTTAAGTATGTGGGCTTTTCATTCCAATGCACCACAATAGATACCACACATGATCAAGCTGGACCTCTGATCTAAAGATTTAATAATTGGGCCTAACAAACAGTGAAACTACAATAACAATCATGTAAATTACTAATTTAACCTTCTTACCTCCGCTTCTCTAGATTCCTATTCTATTTCCTTCAAACGTTCTTTTTATGCAGCCGTATGATTAGATTCTAGACTATATTCTAATAAACATGAAATAACTACTAACCAGAACACTAGATCTAAATTTTTATATTCTATGCAATATTTATTAAACCTATAGGCCTAATATTTATTTTAAATTCCTATGCGATGTGTCGTGAACTGTAGGTTTCGTGTTATTTTTTTAATGGCGGAAATCAGTTTAAAATTTCGTTTCCTTCCTTTTGTTATTCTATTTATAGATTCAAACTGCTTAGAGACGGAGCAATTATCATTGAGTTAGTCGGCCGATCCACACAGGAAGTGCGGGTATATCTATTAGTTACTCAGTGATCTGATCATTGACAAAAACAGAGATAGCCATTCGCATGGGGTGCTCTCTCTCTCTCTTTCTCTCTCTCTCTCTCTCTCTCTCTCTAGATTTTAAGCGGTTAAAAAGCCTTGCTCGGCGGACAGGGATTTATTCAACTAATAAAACGAAACAATTTAAATGTACGAAAGTCTCAAGTCTCAAGTCCTGTTGTATTATTTTACTATCTGATTGGGGTAACATTATAAATACCCCGAGACAACGACGGCCTCATTAGCCCGAGTCAGCGTCAGCAACATATGAGGCCAGGCATGCCCCATACGTACCAGGCATGCGGGTTGCAACAGTTTGGCCTCGAAAAGTGGTAGGTACGATGCAACGTCATTTTAGAGGGGAAGGGGGGGGGGGGGGGGAGTGGGGGTCCTAGAATATTTTGACAACTTGTGACAATGGTGGTAGGATGTAATGTTTCTTCCGTTGGTCGAAAGTCTCGAGTTCGGATCTCGGTTCGGACGTGAGTCTGGTAAATGTCCCTGAAACCATCCAGCTATGATTGGTACCTGACTCACGTTAGGGAAAGTAAAGTCGGCTGGGCATAGTGCTGACCACACTAACCCTTTAGGTACCGACGTCAAGCAACATGAACTCTACGTTATTTGCCGTATGGATGGTTAGGTTCGAAAAGGTAATATGTTTATCAATCCCCCCACCCCCCCCCCCTACACCGACATACCCTCTGTCGTCACATGTCACACTCTGTCATATGTCATCAGTTTTACATGTCACACACTGTCATATTATGTCATTAGTTCTACACCATAATACCCCCCCCCCCCCTGCGGACTAAATAACTATAATTCTATGTACATTTGCGACCCTACAAATAACAAATTAAAAAAATTAGATGCTACCTCACATTTGTCAACCCTCATCCTACCCGCATAGAACAACTTCCGCCAGCTTAAACCTCATCTATCCAATCTCTATTTGACACGTCAAATAGAGATTTAAACTTTACTTTCATATTCTCATAAAAGCGAAAGTAGTTGTTTATATATCAGTTTGATAATACAGAGTCTATTAGTCTATTTTATAAAAATTCAACATTTGTTTAGTGAGCACTATCCAAACAGTTAATTTCATAATGGTATAAAGTTTAGCAAGGGAGGTAACATTTAATTAAATTTTAAAATTCAATACAAATAAAATAAAGTATATTTGTACACACATATTATAAATTCATTGATTATTTTTAAAAGAATATACTACATGACACTTATTAAACAATTGATCTAGCCATAATTACTTATAACAATTTAATAACAGAAAAGCTACAGTCAATACAAACAGCTTAGCTCATGTACAGGATAATTAACTTCAAATTTTTAACTCTGCATTGTAAGTTATTTTAGATTAGTAAAAGTACTTGTGCTTATTTTTTACTCCCTTTCTACATAGGGACAAAATAATATAAAACGTATTTTGTCTGACGGAAAGTTGGAAAATATATAAAAGCTAGTTGACCATTTCATTCTGTTGACAGGACTAACTACGGCCCATATCACTCTACCGTGCCCTTCACTGTAAAAAAAAAGTATATATTATAATTTAAAATGTATGTAAAAATATTAACAACAGGGAGTTGAAGATAATATTCTAATTTTAAAGTCGTACTTTTATGGCATCTATAGCCGTATTATTTATCTATACAAAACCAGATTGGTTATTTAATCAAAACCACTATAATACACTTCCGTATAGATCTTTTCAGAATAACTTTGTATAAACATGAAATCGTACTGTGTATTATCAATATATTTTTGCCACCCCTCCCCCATTTCTCTCTTCTTGGTTTATTCTGTGTTTCTTCAGTTGTTCCTCTATTCAAGTAAGTTATAAACAAACAAACTTTACAATTGTAATGAGGTGGGTATAATTTTAGCGCAATCTTTGCGAGACGTGAAAATAAAAGACAAAACACGTGTTAACTTTTCTACAGCCGTTATATATATATATATATATATATATATATATATATATATATATATATATATATATATATATATATATATATATACGTTCTTTACTTATACTATCATGACTGACTTAAGTTACGGATAGTTAAACACGAACAACAGGATTTCCTATTGAAGTGAGAGATTTTCCCTTCACTAAACTACAAGTTTGGATATTAACTAAGACACAAGCAAACATGAGTTCAAAACCTTTTTCCATCTAAGAACAGGCTACAATAAAAAAAATTAACTTTCATGTGTAGGTTGTGTGGTAGTAATCATGCATTCTCCCACCCCACTCCGATGTGCAAATGGAAATACTTCAAATAGTTATTAATATTAAGTGATTCACTTTCGCAGTTGTAACTTTTTAATTTTAAAACAATGATATATGTTGTATAAATATTTTTTTATATTATATTAACCGTCTTAGCCGGATATAATTAAGCCTATATATTATAACCACTTTCACCATCAAACTGAAAGAAAGGTGTATTGCCACTGATTTTAGACAAAATGACACTTTAAATTGGATTAACCAATTTTAGACCTCTGTTCTATTTCGGTTCTCTATACAAATCCTTCCTTTCAGCGTGAAGAGTGGTGTTCTTGATCTGTCTACATCGACACTATTTTAGTTTCTCCCCGACCATTACGGCAATGGTGTGTTATTGTTTAATTAAGTGTCGGCTGGTTTGATCTCAGTTGTGTTGTAGGATTCTACGAGTGGCTGGATGCCTGTGAGTCTCTTGATAAAATACAATGGCTCTACTTCACATGATGGCGTTGTCTTGTAATAGCGGGGCTCTACTTGAGGTGTGGGTGTCAGCTTTAAGTGTGGGTGTATGTGGGGGTGGGGTCCAGCTTCAAGTGGGGGAGGTACAGTGTTTCTTTTATACATGTCTTCGATGTGCGGGCAGTTCCCTTGAAGCATGTCTTTTGAACGAAATAGGATTTATATACAGATAATATACCTTTACCAGTGTTTTTCGTCCCGGAAAATTTTCTCACAATTTTCAAGTGCCACCTCCCCCCCCCCCACACACACACCCTGAGAAAAAAGTCTGAAGAAAACACTCGGGAGGTAGCATTATTGTGTATGGGACAAGATTTACATGAGGAAGCATCTTTAAGTGTGGGGGGGGGTCTATCTTAAAGAGGTGGGCCAACTTAACTGATTCAGGCTTTGGCACTTAAAGTAAGTGAGGGTAAGAGTGGAGGGGGGGGGGGGGGGCTTCTTTAAGTGAAGTAGGTAAACTTAAGTTATGTCAGTCTAAGTAAGGGGCTCAGTATCAAATGATGGGCCACACATTAAATGCGGGGTCCTACTTCAAGTAAGGGAGACTCAGTTGAAGTGCAACGAGTTTCAGTGAGCACAAAAAACTAGGGGCCCGTTTTACGCGAGACAAACGAAGAAGGGGTGCAGTTTTACGTGTGAAGTCGAGCTTCGAGTCATAACAGACGGGGGGGGGGGGGGGGGGAAGGGGGGTAGTTTTACTTGTGGGATTAAGTTTCAATTTAGGGGTCCATGTTTTACATGTGGGATTAAGGTTCATGTTAGGAGACCCGAGTTACTTGTAGGATTAAGTTTCAATTTAGGGGTCCCTGTTTTACATGTGGGATTAAGCTTCAAATTAGGAACCCCGAGTTACTTGTAGGATTAAGTTTCAATTTAAGGGTTCCTTGTTTTACATGTGGGATTAAGGTTCATGCTAGGAGTCCCGAGTTACTTGTAGGATTCAATTTGGCGCCCCCCTTGGGAGCAAATTTTCGATTTGCACCCCCCTCGAACTTTTCATTTGCACCCCCCCCCCCCCCTCAAACTTTCGATTTGCACCCCCCTCGAACTTTTCATTTGCACCCCCCCCCCCCTCAAACTTTCAATTTGGCGCCCCCCTAAGGTCGGCGCCCGGGGACATATGTCCCCCCCCCCCCCCGCCCCCCCCCCTCGCTACGCCTCTGGTAGGATTAAGTTTCAATTTAAGGGTTCATTGTTTTACATGTGGGATTAAGGTTCAAGTTAGGAGTCCTAAGTTACTTGTAGAATTAAGTTTCAATTTAAGGGTTCCTTGTTTTACATGTCGGATTAAGGTTTTTCGAGCGCGATCAAGCTTTAGGTTCGGAACCCCAGCTTCCAGTTCAGTCGCACTGCTCTAAGACCCATCATCAAGTGCAGGCGATAAAAAAAGAATACACGTAAGCCTTG